AGGTTCCAGAAAGAAGTTTACAGCAGGCATCGAAGGTTCTTGCTAAACTCTGCATTAACTAGCTAAGCCATTCATCTGGGGCCTTTACTTAACATGTATATCCATTTATAGTTATCCTCTACACAATTATAAGAATTAGGACAATTTTTGCTACTCTGCCTCTTGCCCCTCATCCTTCTCCTAAAAACATAACAAATAAAAATACAGTAATTAAAAAGAAGTTGGGGATATTTTTTTGTGGTCAATTGCACCATTCATACCTCGAATGTCAGCCTGAAATCTGAAGAGATGAACTTTTCATTTATATCAGCAGTACCTAAGTCCACTTGTACCACGCGCAAGGATAGCTGGAGCAAAAACTTTTCTATTACTGATGAAAGAAAAGATCAGAATTACTGGAACAAACATAAGTAGCACTGAAGTAATTTTACCTGATCAAGTCTCACAGTCTTAGGAACAGGAAACTTTTCTACATTGAATCAAATACAAGGGTGACATTGTCATAAAAAAAAATCTTGATGTATTTCTGGGTTGTGGAATTGGGGAGGTGGTAGCATGGTGCTCATCTCACTGGACTAGTAATCTGGAACCCAGACAAATGTTGTGAGGACGTGAGTTTACATTTCACCATGTAAATAGATAAATTGGAATTCAAATTTTTAAAAAATCTGGAAGAAAAAGATTACCTAATGGCAGCCATGGTTGATTGTTATAAAAATAACATCTGGTTCACTAATATATTCTGTTTTTAGCTGGTCCGGCCTACATGTGACTCCAGACCTACAGTAAGTGGCTGATTTTTAACTGCCCACTGGGCAACAATTAGAGCCAAGAAATAAATGCTGGCCTCATTAGTGACACCCACAGCCTTTGAACAAATTTTTAAAAAGTGGTTCAATCACTGATCACAGAGCAATAGAATGTTACTTTGCACTTCTTTGAAGACATTAATTGTATGAAGACATTACGAGCGAGGTGGACAATGGGGACCCAGTGGATGTGGTGTACCCAGATTTCCAAAAGGCCTTTGACAAGGTGCCGCACAAGAGGCTACTGCATAAGATAAGGATGCATGGCATTAAGGGTAAAGTATTAGCATGGATAGAGGATTGGTTGACTAACAGGAAGCAAAGAGTGGGGATAAATGAGTGCTATTCTAGCTGGCAGTCAGTGACTAGTAGTGTGCCTCAGGGATCGGTGTTGGGACCGCAATTATTTACAATTTATATAGATGATTTGGAGTTGGGGACCACGTGTAGGGTGTCAAAGTTTGCAGACAACACTAAGATGAGTGGCAAAGCAAAGTGTGCAGGGGACTGTGAAACTTTGCAGAGGAACATAGATACATTGAGTGAGTGGGCAAAGGTCTGGCAGATGGAATACAATGTAAATAAATGTGAAGTCATACATTTTGGTAGGAGTAATAGTAAAAAGGATTATTACTTGAATGGTAAAAAGTTGCAGCATGCTGCTATGCAGAGGGACCTGGGTGTCCTTGTGCATGAATCACAGAAGGTAGGCCCGCAGGTACAAGTAATTAGGAAGGCAAATGGAATTTTGTCCTTCATTGCTAAAGGGATTGAAATTAAAAGCAGAGAGGTTATGTTGCAGCTGTACAAGGTGCTGGTGAGGCCACACCTGGAGTACTGTGTGCAGTTTTGGTCTCCTTACTTGAGAAAGGATGTATTGGCACTGGAGGGGGTGCAAAGGAGGTTCATTAGGTTGATTCCTGAGTTGAGGGGGTTGGCTAATGAGGAGAGACTGAGTAGATTGGGATTATATTCATTGGAATTCAGAAGATTGAGGGGGGATCTTATAGAAACATATAAAATTATGAAGGGAATAGATAAGATAGAAGTAAAAAGGATGTTTCCACTGGCAGATGAAGCTAGGACAAGAGGGCATAGCCTCAAGATTAAAGGGAGCAGATTTAGGACTGAATTGAGAAGGAATTTCTTCACCCAGAGGGTTGTTAATCTATGGAATTCCTTGCCCAGTGAAGTAGTTGACGCTACTTCAGTAAACGTTTTTAAACAAAAGGTAGATTTTTTTTGAACAATAAGGGAATTAAGGGATACGGTGAGAACGCGGGTAAGTGGATCTCAGTCCACGAAAAGATCAGCCATGATCTTATTGAATGGCGGAGCAGGCTCGAAGGGCCAGACGGCCTACTCCTGCTCCTAGTTCTTATGTTCTTTGGTATTTCCATAATTTGTACTATTTCCAACAATATTTTAATAATGTTCCACAATTATGTGCTTCTCATTTCATGAAAAATAATAATGAATAAACATTACCGCTCTGTTTCAACAGCCCATTGACCAGAAGAAAAGTGTCTCTCCTGATTCCATGAAAAATTATTGCTGTATTCTGTCCTGTTTTGGTGAAGTACTGAGCAAAGGCCAGCTCCTTATTATTTGGAGCAGAGAGGGGAAAAATATTGTCTGTATACAAAGCACAGAGAAATTGTCAGCCTGGTCATAAAAAACGTATTTACAATCCTCTTGCACCTATTGCAGAGAAATCTTCTCTGTGATGAAAGGAACTTGGAGGACCAGCTTCAGCTAATTCTGAATCCATGCTCGCAGACACCTCGGGCATCAAAAGTACAGAGGACAGCAATGGAAATAAGGAGATTTGGAGGAGATAAGATTCATTAATTTAAGTCCTTACCTTTGTAAAAGTAATATGTTTGATTATTGGAGGTCCATTGTCCAGCAGCTGCAACTGGTCAATTTGTAATCAAAATAACATTGTGAATTAAAAAAAACTGAATTAAAAGACATGAAATTCAATGCGATGCTTTAGTTTAGTTGATATCAACTTTGAGTGCCTATTTATGTGTTATCATACAGCTACCTGTGACAACACAGAAGAGATATTCCCTGTGGAAGCGTAAGGTAGAGTTTATTGCATTAACCAATAGAAGCAGATCCCCTTCCAGAGTTGATCTTCTAAATCTTCTGTTCACATTTTTAATATGAATAATAAGGTACTCTATAATCTGAAAAGAAAACATACTCCAGTCTCCAACTGATATGAGGCATTTTAATATTATGATTAATATTAGACTAATTTTTGGAATACTTTGCTAGGCATAGACTATAAAAGCAATGAAGTAATACTACCCCTCTCCAGATCATTGGTCATACCACATTTGGAGAATTGTGTTCAGTTCTGGGCATATTATTTAAGGAAGGATGCTAAAAATCTGGAGAGAATTCAATGGTGATTTATGGGAATGATACCAAAAGTGAGGGATTTTAGACACAAGGAAAGATTAGAGAAATTGGGCTTATTCTCCTTGGAGCAGAGAAGATTAAGAGATGTTTATTGAGATGTTCAAAATTATAAGTAATTTTGACTGGGTAAAGAAGGATATTCTGTTTCTACTAGTTGGTCTGTCAGTAACTAGAGGTCACAATTTCAAGATTGTCAGCAAGAGAGCTAGGAGTGAGATGAGGAGAAACTTCTTAAGTAAGAGGGTTGTTAGGATTTGGAATGGTGAAGAATGGTGGAGGCAAATTCCATATGATGTTTCATAATAAATGTGATGAAATTGGAGAGCTAGAGAGATAGGGCTAAAGAATGGGACCCTCTGGGTTATTCCTTCAGGAGCTGTGCACACACATTAGGTTGTATAGCCTCCTTCTGTACTGTCAAATTTTATGATTCCATGTACATTTGAGCTTATTGAGACATCAACAAGCAAAGCAGTTTGCCTAAATGCCACTGTAGATGGGCAAAATTTGCAGATGAGAGTAACATTACAAATAGAATTTGTGATTCTCTTTATCCTGGCCCTGAAAGCATCAAATGATCTTACTTGGAGTGCCTTCTAAGGTTCCTCACCATTCCACACCAACTGCACAAAGATCCGTAAAGCCAGATCAATCAGAATGCAGCCCTCTTGGACAGCTTCTCTATCTCCAATGGTGTTCAGGGAGAATGTATTCTCTATTCTTTTCAGTATGACATTTCAACAGACGAAGGCCTGTTTGACAAAGTCTGAGCAGATGACAAAGACTTCACCCTGCTACGAGCCGCATTGCAAAAACACAGAAGAGCTTATGTTTGATGACAACTTTAACATACTTGGTTCAGCTTGTCTGAGTTGAGGCTACACTTGCTTCTAGGTCAATTGGTCTTCCTCAGTTACAATTTGACAGGCAGTGGATGCCCTTATCTGCTTCCACAATGTGGCTATTCTTCTTGGGTAAACTTATACAAGAAGTATTTACAGGTTATCAGCCACAAATGACTCTATAACCTAACACAAATGCCACGGATTTGGAGTCGGTAAGAGGCATTCATGGATAGGAGCCCTAGCACCTCTGCGCTGACCAAAGGAACAAAAAAAATCCAGTTACAGTATGCTGATTGACCGAACTCTACTAACTCAGGGCAAAGGGAAATAGAAACTAGCGCTCCTCCTAAACAGGTCTGAGGCATTAATTAGATCAACTTGCTGAGCCTCTGCAAGTAAAGGCTTGCTGATAGGGTGCTCTCACAAACAAAACAAACTGAAAACTGTTGGGCATGTTCATTTTGCTTGGAAAGACTACACAGTGCATACATGCAAACGGCTTCATTTGGTCTTCAACTCATGCGCTAAATGGGCCACAGTTTCTCTTTCCCTTAATGCAATACAACCCGGGAATCTTCTTTCAAAAAAAAAGACAGGAAATATGCAAAGTTATTGACTCCACCAAATCCAGGCATTTTGTTGTCGGGGTTTTCTTTTTTTTGTTCAACCGGCAGTGGAACAGAGCATGAATGCACTCTGCTTCCATTCCATTACCTGCCGGACAGCGGCCTCCATATTGTTTTGAGGAGGTGGCGAGGCGGGTGGTGGGGGTGGGTGTAAGGGGAAGGGGGCCACGTGCGGCCAACGGAATTTCAAACGAACTTTCGCGCGTGCCTGCTGCTTCCCGCCCAAATGCCCCTGGCGCATGTGCCGAGCCTCCCTTTTACTTTTTTTAATAAACGGCGCCGGCCTGCCGTCCCTTGTGCGCATGCGCCGGACGGAGATTGGTCGGTCGGTCGGTCTGTCTGTCGGGGAATGGCTAATTTCTCTTAAAGAGGAACATAGTGTGGGGTTTATTCCAAACGTGTGAGTGATGTTGGTAAGGTTATCATTCAGTGCCTGGTTGGGCCTGCATGGATATTGCTACAACAAGCCGTCTTGGCAGTAGTGTCTAATCACCAATATCAACCATGGCACCATTGGTAGCCTTTGGGTCCTTGTTCAAGCCCCACTCCAGGGATTTGAGTGCAAACCTCAGAAAGAAAATCTGTCTCAATTCAGTGCTGATGGAGTGCTGCATGGTTGGAGGCGCTTTTTATTGGATGAGATGTTGAACCAATCGGCCTGTTTGGGTTGATGTAAGATGCCCCTCTTTAGGAAGAAGAGCAGGGTAGTCATCTGCAGTGCCCTACCTCATGATTACTCCTGATTCCCAGAAATGGTTAGGGCATAGAAGGAGGCCTTTCAGCCTGTTGTGTCCATGCTGACTCTCTGAAGGAGCCATTCTCCCACCTTTCAAAGTGAGTCAACATCACAAAAATGGATTAGGCAGCCATTATCATGTTGCTTTTTTTTTACGGGAACTTGCTGTATGAATGTTGTCTGCGGTGTTTCCTTCATTGCAACAATGACTGTACTTAGTACTTAGTTGGCTGTGATGTGCTTTTAGATGACCAACTGTCGTGATAAATGGAAGTCTTTTTTCAATGGTTTTTGCTTACGGATGTCATGCTATTGATGATGAAGGAATGGAAACAATTGCTTGATGTAGAGACGAACTAGTGCATTCTGTGGGTTATGTGACTATGAAAAGATAGAATTCAGAAGGAAAGCATTCAATTCATTGTGCCTCTGTTGGCTCTTTGAAAGCTATCCAGTCCCTTTTCCCTACAAGCTTGCACATATTATTGCTTTCAGGTCTGGAATCCAACTTTCTTTTGAAAGACCATATTCAAAATACCTTTTCTTAGGCAGTACGTTCCAGATGACAATGACTTGCTGTGTTTCAAAAATTGTCATTGTTCCCTTTGCTCTTTTGCCAATGATCGGAGCACAATGAGAAAAGAGTACAGTTGCTGTTAATCTTCCCTACCAGAAGTCCTCCTGATGTTTGCACCTATGCCTTGTCCCCAAATCTGTTTATCATCTTCCTTCAACCAACTATCTAAGTTATTTTCAAATGCTGGATATGGTTTCTGCTTCAATTATTATCAGTGTGCCTCTGTCTTGTTGACAGACAATATTAGCCTCCCTTTGGGGCCTTGCATAACTGGAGATCTTTGATATGAATGACAAGACATGTCTGAGACAGATTCATATGATAATCTTCATTGGGTGCTGCTGAAATGGTGTGCTATCCCAGTTTGTGAAGGAGTCTGAGCAGAGGTTTAAAGGAGGAACATAAGATGTTATTTGCAAACTTTGAGAGGTAGGGTGAAGAGTTCCAACTTGCTATTTTCCCGTATGCTAGTACCTCCATGAAAAGAACCACCAATGCTTTCCTCCTATAAGAAGTCATGGTTGCAACATATTGTGAACCTTTTTCTAGTAACATGTTATGCCTCCTGTTATTTGCAGTCTCATCCTGTATGAAAGGTACATATGTTGGAAAGATACAATTGCAACATAATGTGTATAACCTGAGTGCCCAAGTAACCATAATTGCATTGAGGGACCTTGTGGTCAGGGTACATGATTCTTCCAACAATGTTTAGTACCCTGTGTAAACACATCTGGGATTATTTCATGAGTTAATGCTCTACATTAATAATAGGATGTTTTGGAATATATGTATCACTATTTGTACTACATTTTCCCTCTCTAATTGAATTGCAAATTTACTTGATGAAATATATACTTCATTGAAAAGTATAGTGCACATCTATCTGTTTACCTTGTTAAAATCACCAAATTACAACACATTGAGTGTCCTAGATATAACTATCTTCAGCTGTACCATCATTAGCCTTCCCTCTGCATAAGGTTAGAAGTGGGATGTTTGCTGATGATTATAAAATATTCAGTACGTTTTGTATCTCCTCAAGTACTGAAGCAGCCCTTGTCCACATGTAGCAAGACTTGGATGACATCTGGGCTTGAGCTGATATGTGGTAAATAACATTTGTATCTCAAGTGCCGGATAATGACCATCTCAAGTATAATAACATCCAGTTGTCTCCCTTTGCTGTTCATGGCATTAATTGCTGAGCACCCCACCACTCACATCCTTAGGTCACAATTGAGCAGAAACTGAACTGGACAGTTATTCAAATGCTGTGGCTGCAAGAACAGGTCAGAGACTAGAAATTCTGTGATGAGTAACTCGCCTACTATCTCCCCAGTGTCCGCCCACCGTCTTCACGGGACAAGTCAGAAGTATGATGGATTACTTTTCACTTGCCTGGATGGATGCAATAGCAAAAAACACTTAAAGTGGCTTAACATCATCCAAAACAGTCCACTTGATTGGCACCCCATCCACCAGTTTCAACATTCACTCCCTTCGTCACCCCTGCACAGTGGCAACAGTATGCACCATCCACAAAATGCATTGTAAGAACTCCCCCAGGTTCCTTCCACATCACAATTCAAACCTGTGATTTCTACCACCTAGAAGGGCAAGGGCAGCAGATGCATGGAAACACCATTTGCGAGTTCCCTGCCAACCCACTCGCCATCCTAACTTGAAACTCACCATTTCTTTACTGTTACTGGATCAAAATCCTGGAACTCCCTTCTTAAAGCACTGTGAATGCACCTACACTAACTACAGCAGCAGTTCAAGAAAGCAGCTCACCGCAGCTTTGACAAGGGCACTTAGGGATGGGCAATAAATGCTGGCCTAGCCAATATTGCCCAAATTGTGTAGATGAATTAAAAACTAAACACCTCCTTCTAAGTTACAGATCACAGATGAAACAACAACCCTTCTTGTCATTGCTGTTTACTGCAGGGCAATTGCCCCCTTTGCAGGACCTCCTTCCTACAACATTCCTTCAGAGTATTGTAATTGATTCAGTCTATTCTGCAACCATCTGTTTTTGATGAATTCTTAGCAGCCCAGCTTTAAATCACAAATTAAAGAGTAGCTGAAATAGGTAACCTGCTCTTCCCTTCCCCATCTCTGCTTTCCCCCACATCCATTATATGATGGGAATGCTGAACTGCTTGACTTGATTGTGTGGGCATCTTGCCCTGCATGTACTACCTTTGCTGCAGTGGTCTGACCTTGCAGTTTTGGCAATATTTTCAGCCCACAGTCTACAAAGTTCTTTCTTTCCCTATTGTTGTAACAGAAGACTTTTGACTTATTTTATTATTTATGTACAGTTGCAGATGGGAAGCATTAATTTTATGGAGAAATCATTATTTGCTGACATAACTGGGGAGCACGACACATTACTGCTCATTATAATTGCTGGATGCCCTGTGTTCAGAAGCAAGGACTGGTCCAAACAGTGATTATCACTGATATTGTTTTATGCTTAACTTGATGGAAGAAATGATTGATTAGTATAGGAAAAGATCCCAGCTTTTCTTCTCCCAGTAATGACCCGGCTAATAACAAGTACTGATCAAGGGAGATGTAATCATTTATGTGGAGTGTACTTGGTTTCTAGCTGTTCATTAAGCCAGTTTAATGAATACCAGTCTCTGCCATCAACTTAGCTCATACTGCTCTCAAATATCAAGTTCTTAGTTGTTCTGGGTGAACAGTTACACAATTTGCAGGATACATAATTCCAAAGGGACGCATACGTAAGCCATGCTGCATCAGATTTTTACAGATCATTAGCTATTAACCAGTGTTCATTGTTATACTTGATATTTTAACAGTGTATACATTTAAATTGTTGTTTAATTAGCAATGTCCTTAAATTATTGAGATTTGCCAACAGAGGTATCTTCCAAGCAAGAAATTTTGACACCACTGACTTCAGTGATTTATGTTTGCCTTCTATCATGTCAATATTCACATGATTGGTATTAGACAGAAGGAATGGGGATATGTTTCGCTGAAGTGCTGTCACAGTCCTGCATGAAGTCTGATGTTTTTGAGATGTGGTAGTACATTCCAGTGTAGGACTGAACCGAACCAAAAGTATATCTCCTGGGCTGCAAACTTGTAGGGGTGCTGTCTTCCTGGGAGATGCTACTGTTGTAGATACTGTAGTATGGCTCCATCCTAGTGTTGATAGGGGTGGAGGCACTTTGTGCTTTTCGTGGGTACTCCACAGAAGTGAAGATGTCTTTTGAATTGCTTGGCCCACAGGCCTGGTCTACGAGCTTTTTCTGTGACTTGGGGGAGAGGATGTAGGCTGAATTGGTATCATGGTGTGAAGACTTGTTCCTGTTCACAACCAGGCTGCCATCCCCAACTGCTTTCAGTCTTGTTTTCTGCTTGCAGCACAGCAGGAGGGCCATAAACTGTGTGCACCAAGCCACCTTTTTGCGGAGACCAGAGTTGTTGCGAGAATAGATAAATGGGTTGAGGCCTGACCTAAAAAACACCAAGGTTAATCCACACAGCTCAAATTGGTAGATGATAAAGCTGCCCTCTGAGGATAAGACATCGTGCACCAGAGCTACACCCAATGGCAGGCAGCAGACCACTGATAATAGTATCATAACACAGGTCACTACTGCTTTGGAGTCCTTAACAGCTGAAAGGTTCACAGTGTGTTCTAGCTTCTTGTTGGAACTGATCACATTTTTGTTTTCATTATGTGTATATAGGTGTGTTTGTACATGGGGTGTCTTGTTGCGTTTCTGCTTTCTGTATAAAGAGGGCCCTGATCCATCTGCAGGGACAAAACAGTCGGGCTTTTTGGGGTCAACCACTGTAATCACAGGGCAACGCCGTACCTGTGCGTTCTTGTGGAGAGTTTGAGCAATCATAGCATAAGAAATTGCAACAATGCCCACACAGAGGGTAAAGTCCACTACATATGTGTATAAAATGGCCTTGCCATCTTCATTAATGAGCCCGAGCAGCGGGACACAGATCTTGGAGCTGTGGTACTCAGTCATGGCTGACAATGTGGCTAGGGTGAAACTGATGACCCACAGAACAACAGTAAGCAGAAGTGTACAGACAAA